CCCCCCCTGCACCTCCCTCACTGCCCGTTCACCAGGACTCCCCCCGTCTCTCTCCTGCAGGGGCACGTGGTCGACCGGCCTGCCCAAGCGGAACGAGGCGAAGACGGGGGCCGACACCACGGCCGCCGGCCCCCTGTTCCAGCAGAGGCCGTACCCCAGCCCAGGCGCCGTGCTCCGCGCCAACGCCGAGGCCACCCGGGCCAAGGAGTGAGCCGCCCCGCACCGCGACAACCCCCGCGGGGAGCGCGTCTGCCCGGGTTTCTGCTTCCTGGTTTTCTATTGGTTAACTGAACTAATTCCACACGGCGTTGGATCAGCTGTCACTGCTCTGCAGAATGCAGGCTCTCCGCTGGTCATTCTGTCCACCGTTTTCTCGTCGGTGTGTTTTTGAAAATACCCCATCCATACCGTCGTAACAACAAAGATGATAATCGGGACGGTGCCTCCGGTAAAGCTCCCCTTCAGAGCCTCCCTGCATCCAGGAGCCTGCCTGCCTGCAGGAGAGCTTTGCCACACAGCCCGTCAGGAGTGAGTGTCCCGGTGGGGTACTCTGCATGCTCTCGGGTTTGTCTGCGTCTGTGTGAGGGGCTCCCCGCTTGCTCCCCAGTCCTACTGCCCTGCTGGGCCCTGGACCTTCATCAAGGGGGCAGCTGAATCCTGTCTGCGCCCTACATGAGTCCTGCTTAGAGCAAGATTCATTTAGGAAGAAGAAATGAGAAGCAGGATCTGGGAATCTGTGTCCCAGGAGACACCCTTGGTTAGCAGGCTGGTAATCTAGGATTTACGCTAAACACCCCCTAACCAAATGCGTGTATCATCTTAAAATGTGTGACTAGCAATTTAATGTGATCCCCAAATATTACTTGGATGCAATTGGCTCGGCTTAAGATACAAACCCTGTACTGTTTGCTGTATATTCTTTTCTATTTTGATAATTTTTAAAGAATGATCAAATCTCTGAGTTAGGTGTGTTGAATATACACTTCAGAAGACACATCGCTTATTTATGTTTGTTTTGTAGAAAAATAAAGTATTCAAATTTTGGATACGGATTAAATATTTTTGGTGTCCTATTAATTAAATGATTATTCATGACTGATATAGCCACTAAATGAGACATTGATTGGGCACATGTGATTAAATTATACATTTTTTATGCTCAGTGTCTTTAATTTGTGCGTTTCAGAAAAGGGAGAAGCTCTCCTAACGTTTAACAGCAAAGCTCTCATCTCAAGGTGTGTAATGAGCACATCTCACGCACAGAAGACAACACTTTGAACACAGGGTTACAGTAAAATACACAAGATAAGTGCTTCCATTATCTACTGAAAAAATAGATTGGTAATTCTATGTGGCCATTCGAAATTAAGGAGTGAAAAAAAAGTATTGGACAAGTCCAAATTAAAAAGTTTAAAACATTACACTTTTTATTTTAAAACACTGGATACTCAGGAGCTGCAAAATCCATTTCTTCAACCAGTAATATATAAATATATTAACAGAGCCTCTTTTACTGAGAACGAACTGCAGACTGATCTTTTCTATAAAATGCATCACTAATGCCTACAGGAGGGTTAATATCTTCTGCATTCCTAGAGGGTCACCTGCAGTCTGAAGAGAAGGTGTAAAACAACACACGAGTAAGGAGGCTCAGTTCTGATCCCAGATCCTGTACCCGTCCTGTGGGCAGAACTTGCATCTAGGTTAAGACACTGGGTCCTCTCCTGTACACAGCTGCTCAGTCTGTCACCCAGACTCTTCCTGCAGCAGGAGGGAGAATTTGTTTTTCTACAGTGTCTACATCACCCGTAGCCCCGCTCCAGTTCTGAAGAGCCACAGGCCCCCGGGTTTCCACGTCCCCTTAAATCAGCAGCACCCCAAGAGCTCCTCCGCTGTAGCCAATCAGTAGTTGGGGTTGTGAAGAGCCCAGCTGTGGGGAAGGTGGCAGCCCTGGCTCCATCATTGGTTCAGGAGTGTGGCGTTATCTTCTCACAGTTCTTATAGTGACTGTAAACCTTACCAGCTGTCTTACTCTGCCCTGGAACACAGCTCTGCGTGATTTCCAATAAAACACCATGTTAAAGTTGCCGGCCGGTCGTGCTGTCCATCTCTCCTCTTTCTCCTAGCTTTTGCCTGTTTTAGAAACCCCCCCCCCCCACTCCACTACTCAGGTGGGTTTACACAATAGTCAGGGAAAATCGCAGAAAGCTTGATTAATTCTTGAAGACATTGTTTATATATGTATTATACATGTACTTTCACAAGTTACCATTAAAAAAAAAAAACTTTTAAAAACAAACTGTACATTATATCCACCTTGTAATCCCTCCTGAAACCTGACACTTCCCCGAGGTCCTCTTGCACAGTAAGCTCTCCAACGACGTTCCAGGGCTTTCTGGTGCAATCCGGGAGTGTCAGATGTAACCCTGCAGTCAGTTACCAGAGACTCGGGCAGCTCACCCACAGTGGGGTGATCCGTCTCCCTCGTAGGTGATGACGCAGCCTGGGGCAGAGTTTTCAGCTCTGTGAGTGTGAACGTAACAGTTCCGGCCAGTCAGTGAGGTCCAGAGCGGCTTGGACTACTTTATGTACACGAGGATCTGTGCTCTGTCTCCCTGCAGAGCCTGCCTGCCTGGCTTTTACACCAGCGGCACACCCACCAGGGGAACACACTGTGAGCACTGCCTCACCCCAGTCTTCCTCCACATGGCAGGTCTGCTGTCAGTTCACTCTTGCAGAGTCTCAGCTCCGCCCCCCCCTGCCTGCTCTCTCCCTACCCCGCTGGTCCCTGGTGCGAAGGAGGTGGCGGAGGAAGTGTGGGCAGGGGGTTGGTCATGTCAAGGTCACACATCCGTTCCTCCCACGTAATGGCAGATGGCATCGTAGTCCAGCTTGAAGACCTGCTCCTCGTACCTCTCCAGCTGAACCAGCGCCCTGCACTTCTCCTTGTCCCGCTGGAGAATATGGCCCACCTGTGACACACACCCCCCCCCACAGATTACAACGGGCCAGCACGCTCCTCGGGATCCCCCTTCGGAGCACAGCGCTCCAAGTAGGAACGTACATAAACCAGACTCAAAATACCATTAACGGTTTGAATGCTGACTCTACAAATAACACTCAAAACCACCGCAGCAAGAACATGAAAGGGTTACAAACGAGAAGAGGCTCTTCTGCTCATGTTGCTCACTGGGTTGCTAGTATCTGACTGATTTCAACCAGCTGTTTATTAGCAGAAGGCAACATGGCCAAGGTAGCCCACGACTCGGGTGCCCTCTGCTCGGGAGCTGGGGGTGTTGCAGAGTGCCCCTGGAGACGGAGTGAGACAGAGTGAGACTGCTGCAATGAGAAAGGGAGGGGGACAGCCAGGCCCCCCTGCCCCCCAGGATGAGAGCTGCTGCTGGGGTGTGGCGAACGATGCCAGGAACGTTTCAAGAACGGTCCAGCTGGTGGCAGCAATCAAAGCTGGGAGCAGGAGAGCAGACCTGCTCGCTCGTGCCCGGACACCAACACCTGCAGCTTCCCAGTGCTCCATCTGCACACCCGTGCCACGTGCACGCCGCTGGGCTTTAAACCGACTCCCTTTCCACAGCAAACCGAACTCGTTACAAAACGAGTCTCTGCACCTCACATACACGCTCCTCCGTCTGCTGCCGGCTGCTCTCCTCCTCCTTACCTGTCCCCTGTGTTTCCCCAGCACCACCATGATGGAGTCCGACTCCGACTTCGGGACGATGGTCTCCAGCATCGTCTGCTTCACATCTGGAAGTTATAAAATATAAATCACGCGGCGGCCAACCACGGGGACATCTGTCTGAGCACCACTGTCCCTTCTGCACGGGGTTGGGCAGGCAGCCCAGGGTTCGACTGGGGATGTAATTTAGTGTACCGCTGGGGGTGGGAAAAAAAAAAAAAAGATTCCCTTTCCACAGCAAACCGAACTCGTTACAAAACGAGTCTCTGCACCTCACATGCTTTTAGGTCAACCACCAACACCGACAGCTCAGTCTACTGCAATATTAAAATGGGCGTCGGTAGGAGGCGCTTTTCTAGCAGGACGTCCAATCCCATGCTGGAGTCAGAGGTGCCGAGCACAGGGACAGATGGACAGAGCGGACCGGGCGTCAGTCTCGGGGGGTCTGGGTGTCGCCGTGCCGCACAGCGCCCCCCAGCAGGACAAGCGGGACCTGCGAAGACTCACCCTCCAGCAGCCTGCCCTCGTCCGTCCGGCACACACAGGACTCGGGGGTCAGGACGTCCTCGATGATCATCTGGAGGAGAAAGAGCCAATCAGCTGTAACGGAAGCGCCGGTCCGGGCGGTCCAGGGCACTGCTGAGGTGACCCGGTGCTGTCTATGGCCTAGTGCCTCTACTGGCCGAACTGCACCCTCACCCCCTTACAGCCACTCTGCCCAAGGAGTCCTGGTACGAGGTGCAGCTGAGGGAACGAGTCCCTGGTGCAGAAAAGGTTAGGAAACACTGATGTGGAGCCCCAGTCCAGTCCATGACACGGCCGTGCTGACTGGTGGGGTGGCATGTGTACCTTGGAGTTATAGTATTTCCCTTCCTTGAACTTCTTGTCGATGAAGCGGACGCGCAGGTCCCTCTGCAGCCAGGAGAGGGCACCAGGGGGCGGCGGGTGGGGCTTCTCTCTGTGGGAGGAAAGGACTCGATCAGGGACAGCACCACACGCTCTGTCCTGCATCCCATGAAACGGCGCCTGCTTCTAGCACTGTTCACACGCCTCAAGCCATCTTGTGGATTGTTTCATTTCTGCTTTTAATTTGAATCTCTGATTTACTTGCTGGATTCTAATTTGACATGTGAACATGTAGTTTTCTTTTCCTGCTCCGAGATGCCTTCCAGAATCTAAATCGTCTTGCAGAAAAAAAAAAAAGTCAAGCGCTACCAAACAAAAGAGGCCGCTGTTTCTTTCAAGAGGAGCTACATGCAAACTCAAGGCAGGCGAGCTTCAGTTTCCCCTTACTCGGGACTGTATTTCCCATGAGGGGATTAGTCTCAGAAACCAGCTGTGGGCTCTGGGCCAGAGCAGCAGTGCGCTGGCTTCAGGAAGGAACGAGGTGGGCCCAGCTGCTGTTTTGGGGTCCTTATAAAATACATGGAGTCTTGGAGTTAATAATACATAATATATTTAGCAGAAGCCCAGAGGGTTGCTGTCCGCAAGACGGAACACACTCAAACGGACACGTGTTCAGGTGGCTCGGGAGTAGTTTGTGGTTCGGCCTCGGCTAGTCAGGCAGCCAGCTGCACGTCAATATTAACTACATTTTTAACCCACAGGAGTGGAGAAGATCATGGCAAAGATCCTAATAAGTACTATATTTATTAGTAATACTAACTACATGAACCCACAGGAGTGGTGAATTACCCACAGGGCCAATCAAACACATTTTTTTCCCCCAGTTGTGGAATTATCTTCTCACTGAATTAACCCATGAGGCCAGGTGTGTCTCATTTTCATGCCAGCAGGGGAGGTTCACACAAAGCCCCTACCATCCACCATCATAACGGCAAACAACGCGCAGGAACCATCCATGCGCCCACTGGCCCCCCGGCGACCACGCTGAGCTCCCGCTCGCGAGCCAATCGGAATAGCCAACCGGGCAGCCCGGGCTCTGACCCACCTGTCACGGCTGGAGTCGCGGTGCTTCCTCTTGCGCTGCTCCTTCTCCCGGTCTTTGCCGCGGTCGTGCTCCCTGCCCGCGCGGGCCTCCGGTTCCCGGCTCTCCCTGTCCGTGCCCCTGCCCTCGGCGCCGTCCTGCCCGTTACTCCGCCTGGCCGCCTCCTCCGCTCTCTCCTTCTCCTTGTGGGCTTTGCCAAGGCGGCCTGGGTCAGAGGGAGCAGGCCGTTACGGAGGGATGGCTGCGCGTGACCCCGTGCTGCTCCGGAGGCCGCTGCGGTTTAACCCCTGTACTGACACGCCAGATCCTGTTACTCTGTTACACTAAGTACTCGATCGCTCACATCGGATCTGACGAACCCCGCTCCTCCCTTAGGACCCAAGACCACTGGCCGGAGTGCTCGTGGGAACACACTGCTCACAGGACGCAGGATCACTCCTGTCCTCCACACCCTGTATTGGCTTCCAGTTCAGTACTGCACTGATGCTCAAACTGCGCTTGCAAGTTGTAACTGCATAATCACCTGTAGGGGAGGCTCCCTCTTGTACAGCTTCTACAGCATGAAGAAGAGCATGGAGTCTTCACAGCTTTGTAAATGACATTTACTATTCGCAGCTGTTTAGGTATTACTATATTTATAAAATAATTCTTACACTTACATTGCCCATTTCTGGACACTCCACTCAAAGTGCTTTACAGGCAATGGGGTTCAGTTCTTGGGGTGCTGTCTGTGTGGAGCGTTTATGTTCTCCCCATGTTTGTGTGGGTTTCCACTGGGTGCTCCGGTTTCCTCCCACAGTCCAAAGACATACTGGTTGGTATGTTGGAAGGAATCTAAGAATCAACCTTCCAGTGCAAACACCGCCAGACCGACGCAGCGACCACGTTCACAAGAAAACCGGAGCGGAGCCAACTGCCGAGACTTACTGAGGTCCCTGCTGTACTTGTCGTACTCTTTCCGGCCGACCAGGTGCAGGGAGTACTGGCTGATTGTCACGGTCTTCCCACCGATGGCGAGCTTCACCATGACCCGTGCATTGTCGGGGTCCACCCCCTCGACCTGAAGCAGAGAGAGCCACAGCATGGGGCACACAGGAAGAATCGCTACTCTCTCGCCGTGTCCTGCCCTCCAGTTAGTCCCCCACTGCACAGCACTTTGAGCCACTCCCAGTCTTTTCGGGCTGCAGGCTCTCGTGCATCTGCTGCTGGATATTTCATGCTTGACGTCTGAAACTTGTACGAGACGTGAAACGCGAGTTCAAGCGCACAGACACGGGACACGCTTTATAATTTAAAATCAACGGTTGTTTGTTTTCCTTTTCCCCGGGCAGCCAGAGAGACCACCACCACCTGCAATCGCACCAAGTAAGACACCAAAGAAACCTCCTCCCGTCTAGCGATCGTTGAGCTTGGCAGTTACACTCTCTTGAAAGTAAATGAACTCGTACATGGGTGGGCGGTAAGTGGTAAAACCTGGCCTGGATGGAGCATGACATGGATCGTACCACTAGGCAATAGCAGCCCTATTCCCCCCTCCAACCGGCCTACCTTGCCATAAAGGTCCTTGTGGGGCCCCGTCTCCACCAGCACACAGGCCCCCGTCACCAGCTCCCGCGGCTCCTCGTCGGCACGCTCCTCGCCCGGTTTCGGGGGCCGGGTGGGGCGGCTGGGGTCTAGGTCGCTGATGGCCGAGCGGTCTGCCCCCAGCCCCAGGCCCTTGGGGCGCAGCTGGTGCTCGATAGGCTTCACATCTCTGACGCAGGCAGGGGAGAGACGAGAGAGACAAGGGCTTGTTTAATCGACAGAGAGATCTCTGTGACGTCCAGACGGGGGCACATTAACACCGTAATCTAGTGTGTTTTGGGGAAACTACACACTTCAATATGGTGGGACCTTATCATACACATCCAGTTACAAACATCTGTGCTGACACACGTGTAGCAAGACAGCAGCAAATCACTCAATTGATTAATAATCATCTGTCAATCAGCACTCTAATTTGTTGAAATGCCTTTACCTAGCACCATCCCAAAGCTCTCAGTACAATCTGGTGACAGTACGGGTTTATACTAGGTGTACACTGGTACAGCGAACGACATCACATTCACAGACTCATGTGATCTTTTATTATGTGCCCACCAAATGCGGTGACGCCAATTGTTTGAATCTGCGATTGCGGGACAGCACAGGAGAGAAAGAGGGCCGGAGGACAGGTTCCCCGACATGCCCAGTGTGCCCTACGCTATGTGGTTAGCACAGCAGGACCATGCGTCTCTCGCCAGTGGCACTGCAGGCCTCCAGGAGGCCAGCTTGACACAGGAGTCCCTGTTTTGCCAGCCGCTGATGGGACCCTGGTCGCCTGGCACCCACACTGCCTTGGCAGTGAGGTACCAGTCACAGCCACCACTCAGAGGACCCCGGTCACAGGCAGCTAGCGTGTCTCGTGTTCTTAATGGATGTGGACGGCTCGGCCTTGTGCGCCCGTACCTCCAAGCAGGGAAGTGGGGCGTGAAGTCACAGGCAAGAGGGACCACACTGGGCAGAAGCCACAGGCACGCGTCATCACGCCTGAGGCTGATCCGGGCTCGAACTTCTCCCAGGTGGAGCTGGGAGGAGAGGCAGGACCGTAGGCCAGCCTGGGGCCCGTTCACGCCAAAAATGAGTCTGTCCGGCTGCAGGCCTCGTTATTAGAAGCTCACACTGCAGCTTGTGCGGTGACGTCAGGGCATCGGACTCGTGACTGGGAAGGTTGCGGGTTCAGATTCTGTTTGGAGCACTCCTGCTCCGAGCCCTCAATCACCTTGCTTCTCTCGAATCGGTTTAGTAAAATGACCCGGCTGTATGAAAGGGTACAAATGTAAGTTGCTCTATATAAGGGTGTCGATGTAAAAGAACTGAATTCGTGAGGCGTCGATGAGTGGACAGCAGAGAAGCTCCCAGCCAGAGCAAGGGACGACCCAGTCATTCAAGTTCACGTTGAAACTACCAACCCAGGCATGCGAATATTATCCTAACTGCACGAGGCTGAACGTCCGTGAAATGCCAAAAACATGAAACATAAAATCCAGCTGATGTGGGCAACACTCACTGTTTGAAGGTCCGGCCGATTCCTTGTCCCTGCTTCCAGCCCATTCCTTTCAGCATGGCCATCCCATAGGCCTCCACTGGGACGTTGTCATAGTCCGCCTCTGTGGACTAAAGCACACACAGGGCTCCTTGTGACTCCCTCGGCACCGCACAATGAGGCCTGAGCATCTTCTGGAGGGCTACACCTCCAGGGGATTTCCACCTACAACACCCCTGTCCCTGGTACCTTTGTTGTGGCAATTGCTCTTTTATCAGATGAATGAAGTATCCTGCTTCCTGGGCATCACCCTCACGAATAATCACAACTGAAGTGCCGAGTCATTTTTAAGTTGCAACAGCCCTCCTTTACATAATAAGCAAAAACATATACCCTCAGCTGTGCCACCTCAGTGGCGAGACAAACAAGCTACAATTAATGTTTTGCTAGCAGCAAATTCCCAAAACCTAAAGCCGACCTCCCAAGAACAGGCTTGTTATCGCCTCTTACCTCAAACCACTTTCATGTCACTTTCCAGCTGTAGCTTGAAGAGTATGACTGTCTGCAGAAGCTCCCCCTAAAGTTCTGAGGCGAAAGCCCCCCAAACGCGGTTCATATTCACACAACCGAGCTGGAAATTATTCTCCTGCCGCACTAGTGCCGGACTGATCAAATCTTCAGCTGAAAAGCACTGAGTGCTGCTTCTCTACATAAGGATGTGCGTGTATAATGCAGGAATAGAAGTCAGGACTCCCGCTGCTCAGCCATTTCGGGATTTACTGTGCGCTGAAGGCTCCTGCAACTACCCAAAAAATAAAACATTGTATCCGGCCGACGCATCACCGTCCCAGCAGTGGCGCAGCCGAACAGTGAACACGTTTAATATTCCTGCAGCTCCAGGTTTTTCAAGACTTTCGCTCCAAATAAAGTGAGCATCACCTGCTGAAAACCTGACGTGGCTTACCCTGCTGCACACCAGCTGTTTGTCTCTCGGAGCTGTTTCGTGTACCAGCGCAAGACTGGGATTTAGCAGCACACTGAATGTCTGGTGGAACAGGGAACTCCGACGTAAAACTAATGCCATGTTCCCTTCTGCCCAGAAAGAGCCAGCATCTGTGTCTAAGAGGCTACAGCACTCGCACAACAGCTGGGAGAGAAAGTGAGAAGGGCGGGGGATGGCCCCAGGAGCTGCCTTGGGTATTTCACAGTTTGAGGGTTAAAAGTCTCTTATCTCTTAGAGTGGGCGTTGGCCATGTGCACAGCAGCTCGGTGTGGGCAAAACCCAGAAACCCAAGGAACAATTTAGGGCAGAACGGAGGAGGGATGTAACTTCAGGAGTTTCTGTGACGCTGCATGAGGGCCGTAGCTCTCCGACCTCGAGAACAGAGCAGAACTCTTGTCGGTGCTGCGGATCCTGGGAGCGGACGTGCGCCGGCTCCCCATGGCTCGGCCGAGCCCAGAGCCGCAGCAGCCTGCAGCCCTGCAGTCCTGCCTGGCTGCCAGCGCGTGCCGATGTCAGCAGCCCCCCCTCCCCCGCCCCGGAGCGAACAAGTCCGCCCGGCTGGGGGGTGCAGGAGTTCACACGGCACCGCCCCGCTGCGGTCGGGCACCCTCAGGCTCACTGCCTTGCTGCTCTGTGTGATGTTTTCCGGATTTTCATGTTTTTTTCGTCTCGGTTTGGGTTTGGTGGCAGACGGAACAAAAGCAGCACCCGAAGGTGCTTGATATCGGTCTGTGAGGGCAGTGAGAACCCTTGCACCCCCAGGGCCAGAACAACAGGACAACATGGGCAAGGGGCTCTTCGACAACCAGTCCATCTACCTCCACTCACACAGTAGGGCGAGCGCAAGCAGTGGGGTGAGCTCTCTATCTCTGCACCCTCCTGTCCAGACGCGTGCTCCCCGCGCCAGAGAATCTCATCCTGAACCCCGTCAGGCAAGACAAGAGGACAAAAAGGGGAAACAAACCCTAGATTAATACATGTAGTACACATTCACACACGTATCATGGACGCACACATGCCTGCGCACCCATGTTCTGTACAGACCGAGGAACAGTGTGGACAGTTTTCCAGCAGCAAGGAGCCTGTGCTCGTAAGACACTGAAGAACTGGCAGCTCTTTTATTCTGCTAATGAACTGTGCAGCCATTTAGACAGTATGAAGAGCACAGGCAATAGATGCCTGTCCAGTTACCCAATTATCTCCCTCTACCTACTGTATATATATATAAACGCACTAGGTGCAACATATACAGCCACGTAATCACCAGAGGATCTGAAAAGCACATTTAATCTCCTAATTGCCCCTAAAATCCTACATTAACAATGGCGGTCCCTTCCAACTCTTAATTAAAATGGCACTGGGGAAAATAATTAATCAATACCAAAAAAAAAAAGGTCAGAAAATTAAACTGCACTAGTGCACAGTGAAAGCATTTAACTGTTACAGCCGCAGGAGAGGATAAATCAATTTGTGGGAAACTCAGAGAATGACAGTCCCCAGGAATGACAATATTTTTAATGGTTATCAAATGCTGAGTTAGTTGGTTCTGCTCTGTGAAGCAGGGGCTGGGGCGGCGACTCACAGACTCGGGCCGCAGGTCCACTTGGATCTTGTCTCCGTCCTCGTAGCCCTCGGGAGCCTTGTTCTGCATCAGCAGCGGGATGGACAGGTTCAGGTCAGCCGCTCCGCCATTTTTCCACAACTCCTGCTGCCGCTGGGACTCTGGGGAGAGAGAGAGAGACAATAAGACGGGGTGGAAATAAGACAATAAGACTCTCCCACTGGACAGGAGCCTCGTTCGTTTCAGGACCGGGGAGGTGCAGGCCAGGCTGGCTGGTGTTGGTTTACATAGCAGAGCCTGGAGCTCGTAAAACTCAGATTAGCAACTCAGACCAACGTCAGTGCAGTGGAAATCTTTCCATTCCTACACTAACTGCAAAATGGTGTAACTCTGGAGAGACCCAGGCAGCTACAGGATTAAAGTGCTTTTATAAATCACCATAAAAAAAAAAACATTTTAGTGAATGATTCCAATAACAGCCTGGATGCGTCATTTTATTTAAAGAAGAGCACATCCCTTCACAAACATGGTGTCCATGAGACAGTAACACATAATGCTTTTCCATTCAACAGGAGTAATTAAATAAACTAAAACAATGGTTGTAAGAAACCTCTTTGAATCTCTTCTAAACAGGTTTCTGTTAATGCTACCAGATGCACGCATTTATATATTAACAGACTATTAAAATTAGGCTGACAGTTTACCATGCATTTTAAGTTCCCAGCAATGCCCCTTGGAAAGAAAGCACTTTAATGATAACATCAAATGAGGAGTTCTAGCAGCGGTCAGGGAAGAAGAAGATCAGGGTGTAACAGGAGAACTGGGAGGAGAATAACCCGAAGAACAGCAGGGGACAGAAACAAGATTGGTGCTCAGCTGACGGAGCAACTTCAGTCTTCGAACAAGCAGTGGGTTCTTGTGCACTGGCTGGTTACTGGTGGAGTGAATTGTACCAACTTACTACACTGAGAGGTTAAAGGAAGTGCAGTTTTTCTTGTAGTCTTGAACAGAGACTACCAGGGGACCCTATTAAAGTATTCAAAATCTTCAAAGGCATTGACAGAGTCAACCCAGTGGACTTCAACAGGATGAACACCGAAACACAAACTAGAGCATTCACCCATCAATCCATTTTCCAACTGTTTTGTCCGATTCAAGTCCGGGGGAGGTGGGTATCATCCCAGGAAGCAACAGGCGCACGGTGGGTTACACCCTGGACGGCATGCCAGTCCATGGCAGGGCACAAAAACACTGCCGTACACACACACCCACACCAGGACCAATTTTCCCAGAAAACTGGACTCCAAAAACTGGAGCATCCAGAGGAAGCCCACATGAACGTGGAAGAACGTGCAAACTCCACACAGACAGCCTGCAGGAATTAACCCAGGACCCCGGAACTGCTACCGTGCCGGCCAGCTGTGTTTACGCGCGCAACAGCCTTGAAGCTGGTGAAACCCGAAACGGTCCAGTGGGCTACGCCGGGAGAGCCTGATGCACGTACCCTCAATCAGCTCCTTGACGGCCTGCGACTCCACAGCATCCTCCTCCCTGGGCGGCTGCGGACAGGTCTCGCTGGCCGTCCGGCTGGCCCCTTCGCCCTTGTACCACCGGTTCTTGTGGATCAGCGGGATGACCAGCTCCTTGGGCTTCTCCGCTGGTCTGGTGCTGGACGCAGAAGCGCAGACGACACGCCCGAACCCAAGCGCACCGAGATGCAGAGTCAAAAGCAGGCAGGAAAAGACACCAGAACACCCCGAATCAAGTCAACACAAGAGAGGCAAGACATACAACCAGAAAGAAACAAAAAGCGAAATTACTACACTTCAACACTACAATAAATTTTGCACCCCGAGGTTAAGTTTTGAAAGTCTTTGAGACCCCAGTACCCTATGTAGAGCGCTACTCTCGGCCATACCTCTTTAACTCCTTTCCTTCTACACCGGTCAGGTAGTCTTTCTCCTCCACTTTTTCGGCGGAGCTCTGAACTCTGAACTTGCTGACGGTTTTGCTGAAGCCAAAAGACACGGGGCCGGCGGCGGCCTCCCTTTTTTTGCTCCCATTTCCGACTTCCCCGTGTTTCTCGCCGGCATCACTTCGTAGTTTGTCGGGGTCCGCCATTTCTTCCTCCTCGGGTCCCGAGCCGCGACAAGCCGGCAGCCAGCTCGCGGGTGCCCCTGGCGAATGTAGTCCTTTTCATCCTGCTCAGGCGTGCACGGTAATGAACGTTATCGACACCAGGGACTACAACTCCTACAATGCAGCCTTAGTTTTTCGGGTCACGCAAGGTCACAGCAGACTATCACTATGGAGACTAACCAGGTTGTTGGATTTTTCTTAGCGCTGACTATTTCCAGTCTACTGGAAACAGAATCGTTTCAGTTTAAAACGATTACAGTTACAGTCATTATATATTTTTGTCATATATTGTATTTAGAAAATAAACGCACAGCTCCATAGTCATGTTGCCTTTTTGAAGCACAGTTTTTTTTTATCTGTCGCTTAACGCATCTGCTTATAGAATAACAAGCGAAATACCCGAAATAATTCAACTATGCCCACATTATTATATTTTGAAGGTTTGATTTAATGAATTAAAGGAGAAAACAGGCCCCAATTTGCCAGAGTACGAAAAAATATTCACTAAGGCATGCGGCGGAAATTAGTAGGTATACAAATGAGGATAATATTTTTATTATCGCTTTATGTAGGTCAGGTCAAGAACACGTACTGGCGTCGTTTGTCTTGAATGTATGAATTTATTCTTCGTTACAAGCGCGTTTGACCTTCAGTTCCCCCCCTCGCATTCATTGTGTCGGTTTTATCGCTGTTCTGTACTGTAAAAAATAAAAGTTTTGGTTTTGTGTGTGTGTGTGTGTTCATTTAAAAGCCGAGCTCCTTGGTTCCCTCTCCCGCTGCCCACCGTTATCACTGGACGGGGATTAATTGGACGTGTTTGGAGGCAAGAGATTTTAAAGCGAAGCGGTGCGGTTGTAGATCTGTACACACACACACAGAGCCAGCACACATACAGTACACCAGCCTCGTCCAATCCCTTGCCCGTACAGGCGGGTCTCCGTTTTTTCCTCTTCTTCTGTTTCTCTCATTATCGCCGCCGCTGTTTATTGTAGACTGTAATGAAATGTAATGCAATTTCTGACCTGTGTCCTATCGCCCGTCTCAGGCATGGCGACCTACCGCAGGAGCAGGAGAGTGAACACCTTTCTCTCAAAACAGTAGCACCGCCGCCCGTGTCTAATCCGAGCATGATCATTATGATACAAAAACGGCGCTAAGGAGCATCACAGCCGCATGTGAATGTGAATATTTAAGTAATATCTGGAGAAGTACGGAACCGAGACGAGGGAAATAGGTTGTGAAGGCGCAGGAACGATGAAGGTAAGGTTTTTTTTTTGTTAAAGATATTTTTTGATTTCTTCTTACCGACATTATTTGTTGTCATTTTCTCATAGCGGGGTGACGATAAAGATGTTTTGTTTTTTTTTAATACGGGGACGGGGACCGATTTTTTAAACGAATTATGTCAAACGGACGCGTTTGTTTCGACCGTCCGCCCCCCCCAAATTCAGTCACGCGTCTCGCGCTCCGCCGTTGGGAAAAGAGCGGGTCGTCGGCTGTCCGCGACTTCCAAGTGTGAAATTAATATTATATAGTAATAATCCACTGTTATATACACGGCCTGTGTTATTTTTTAAATAAATCAACACACAAACAGAGGGAGAGAGGGACGGGGGGTTAAAAATAATCCATTTAGTCTCATCCCCGATAGGGACCCGCTGTGTTACTGATCGGGGTCAACCGCTCGGGTCAGGTCGATGTACAGTAGAATATTAATATATGGACGTGTTATTTATTTATTTGGATAAACTGCCTTTCGTTTGGGCGCCCAAACCGCTTATACAAGCCTGTCCGACGTGTGAGACGGGCCAGGACAGTTGCCGAGGCGGAGTGGGTTTTTTTTAACGCAAGTGTTTGATTTTGTCGGCTTGCCGTATACAACATACACGATGTGGTCGTGCATTTCACACGCCTGTGTCGTAAGGATGAGTAAATTTCCTACACGGATCTGTCATGTATACGTCTACGAGGATGTCTTGCTAATAACGTAATGCGGTGTGTCCGTTGGAGTGTGTGAAATAGTCAGTTTGGAAGAATAATACCGTGTTCAGTTTCATTTTTTTTTTTCACGAACGCAGCGATTATGTTTTTTTTTTTCGCAATCTGGTGTGTGTGGCGTCTGATCTGTGTGAGGTTGTGAGGAGATTCGTCGTATCTCAAATTCTCTGATAAAAAATAAAAACATCCCAAGTCATTAGCATTCGGCGTTTTTTTTTCTACCCTCTACTGTCAAGACGATTGGTGTATTTCTGTGTGTCAAATCTCACTGCTTCCCTTAACTGAGGACCCGGGCTCGTTACCAATGCCGCGTTGAAAAAAAACAACAACAACAACACAATTTAGCCGTAATAAACCGTGGAAAAGGACGGGGTAGCTACACTGTAATTAACTCCGCAGATTTCCCGGCTCATTTACTAGTAAGGAGACAGACCAGCACTAGGGTTTGTCACATTAACGAAAAGGGGAGTGTAGCTCTGTACACATCTGTCAGTAAAACGGTATTTATCGGGGTACACCAAGGTGTGGTACCTCCTATACCGCGATATGTTTTTAATTTACCGTCCGTGGTGACCGGATAATGCTTTTGTTTCCGCCGGGCCACCCTGAAAGCTATTTAAACGAGCCACAGCTGAGCCCGTTTGCCTGACAGTACAGGGAGACACAGTGTTGCATCTGCGATTGCCGATTACCCAGAGCCATACCGTGTTTTATGAGGTGGTTTTACAACACGGTGGATGTTGAATCATTAACTGCCACGGACAGAAACCTGCGTAAATGAAGAGCGATCCTCTAGTCTGAAAAACTGAAAGTGACGTTTATTAAGCATTGAAAATGATCTTTTTCGAGGTGCTCATGGGGTAGGCTCAGCGTGTTTCTAGCTCAGTGGGTTGCCTAGTAGGATTTCCAAGAGAAAGCAGGTCGTTCTTCCAGACAAGTGATGGGTTGATCAGAGGTGTTCCCGGTGTTTTCCTGACAGGGATCTAAACTTATGTGGAGATTGGAACCCATGTGTCCCCCTTTATACAGGTTGACTCATGACCGCCCGACATGGTGGTGTTCTTCCTGATGGGGAAAAAAAAAAACTGGACTGGCTGCTAGCCTTTCTTTTTGACTGTCCCCAGCTCAGCCCCGCTGCCTCCCACAGATCCCTAATGAGGCTGTGCGTGATGAGGACAGACAGCGGTCGCCTGATCCCAGACCCATGGCCTGCTCGCTGTGCCCATTGGGTAGCGTCTCCTGGACGTGTGTGTGGTGCGGTGCACCCACATTGGTTTGACTCGGATCTCTGGGGGACTCTGCTATTGCTGGTTTAAGGGGGGCAGGCGCTTGACGTTTGTCTTTTTTGAGCTCTTGTCACTTCCATCAGGATCATCGGAGACCGCCCAGAGTCCTCCCCTTCATTAAACACGCTGCCCTGATACCGAGACAGTACCACTGATACACAGCACCAGCCTCAACGAGGAGCTGACACAGACACAGGGCTGCCTGGGGCACCTTGGGCTTGTGCAGGTTTGGCAGGATCTCGTGCAGATGTCTGATGCTGTATTTGTACCACTGAGGTGCGGAAGTGATTTATGAAAAGCTGGTTAAATTGTCCTGTTTTGGGGGACTCTGCAGTGTTCTTATTGGTTCTGCACTGGCAGTAGCACTAGAAACAGTACTAGAGTATTTCATTGTATTTCTTTAAAATAATTTTAATTCGGTGGCGCAGTGGTCAGCTTTGCTGCATTGTAGCACTCGGGCCCTGAGTCCAATTTCAGACCTGGGGTGCTGTCTGTGTGGAGTTTGCATGTTCTCCCTGTGTTTGTGTGGGTTTCCTCCCACAGTCCAAACACATGCTGGTTGGCTGATGGGTGCTGGTAAGAGTGCGTGTGTGTCTATGTCTGTCTGCCCTGTGATGGACTGGCGTCCCGTCCAGGGTGTACTCTGCCTTGTGCCCCAGCTCCCCTGCGACCCTGAATTAATAGACGTGGTCAGAAAATAGACGGATCTGATTTTAATTCAGCCGGGCCTCATTGCATTAGCCAGACCGGACCGGAAATCAAAACCAATTCATTTATTTTTTAATTTCATACATATACTTGTGTAAAATCATCATCATCATCAGAGGAACTTTTTTTTCCCCTCTGTGTTTATATGTGTCTGTTTTTTTTTTTTTTTCCGTTTTTTCTTTTTTTTTTTTCAAAAAAAGGTTTTTGTTGCGCGCGAGATTCGCCTCTTCGGGCTGGTCAGCTCTCAGAGCTCGTGGCAGACCCGTGTTGTCAGGGGTGCTGCTGGAGACAAGACTCTGAGAAAGTTTTTATCCTCCAGATGGCTTCACAGCGATCCGATTGTCTCAGCGGGATGTCACACTGGTGCCACTCGCTGTGCCTTTCACACCAAAGAGGACACTGGCTCGAAACATTGGCTGTGCTGCTTTAAAACTCCGTTAAGAAGATAGTCGCTTCTGTGTCCAGGCTTGTACAGTGTTGCACAATAATAATAATAATAATAATAATAATAATAATAATAATAAGACGAAGAAGAAGAAGAAGAAGAAGAAGAAGAAAAAGCGTGGATCTGGAAGGTGGGCAGTGTTTGACACAGAATCAACCTGAAGGTGGGGATGGGATCGGGGGATATCGGGTGTAGACCGGGACTCTGCACTGTTCGGGTCACCTTGCTGTCCCGTCCTGTCTGTGTCAGCACAGCCCCGGATACGGCACGCTCAGATTACAGCCTGGCTCCACTGAGTCTCTCCTGCGAAGTGGGAAGAGGGGGCCCTGCCTGACTCCTCATCATCCATTACAGGACTGGTTTCCAGTCCAGTCCAGGACGATCCCCTGCAGACTGGAGATCACAGGGGGTACCAGTCCAGGATGAGCCCCTGCAGACTGGAGGTCACAGGGGGTAC